CCAGGAGAGGCCAAGCTATGAGCCAATGCAGGCTGCCGCCAGTGCCAAGCCTGGGGCCACTTATCAAGCTGTATGGGGCCCGCTGTTGCTTGTCTGAGAGATTTTAGGAAAGTCCTAAGCATGAGGCTCGAGAGGCCACTTGCACAGAAAAGCCCCTGGAAATGGCCTGGATGAGCTGCAGGTGGGGAGGGGCGGGGCCTCCGGGAATCACGGGGCGGGGCCAAAGGTGTGAGTCAGGTGCTGGCGATTCAAACATGGCGCCTGCCTGCCGGCTGTGTGCGGGGAGGACTCGCCACAGGAGCCATGGCCTCCGCCAGCCCTTCTGCCTGGGAGGAAGCCGCCCCTCCGCCTCTCGCCCGGATCTCAGGCAGGTTAGTTCCCCCCCGAGTGTCCCGGGTCCTTTCAGGCTGCTGCCCGGCGCTGGGCCCAGAGGGAGCGTCCGAGTGAGTCCGCGCCGGGCCCTTAAGAGGAGCTGCTGGGGCTCCCGCAGCCTCCAGGTCCCTCAGGGACAGTCCCCGCTGGTTTCACAGCCTGGAGTTGTGGGGCCGTCTCTTCCTGGCCCTGGAGCCCTGGGCTGGGGCCTGTTGTGGGGCTGGGACCCCTCCCTCCTCTGGGAAACCCCCGCCGCCGAGATTCCCTCCCGGGTTTCAACCGCGGCACCGGGTGTGGGCCCGCGGCCACATCTCTGCGATTCAGCCGCTTCTGCCCGCGTCTCCGCCCCTCCTACCCTCTCGGTGCTTCTTCACTCCCTGGTTGTGGGGCTTCTGTTCAGCCAGATTTCAGGAGGCTCTGAGTGACGGTGGTTCTGTATTTTAGTTGTAATTTTGATGTGGTTGCGGGAGGCGGCGGGTGCAGTTGTTACCTACGCCGCCATCTTGTTGTTCCTCCTATAGCTGCCTTTTATTTAAAATTTTATTTCTCTCTCAATTGCTCCCACTTTGAGAATGATTAGGACAATGTCGTTTATTTAAATTTTCACCTTGTTTCACAATTAGAAAAACATCTCCTAAGCCATGTACAAACGGAGTAATGCCAGGGCCCCACATTTCCTTTCTTTCAGCTCATGAGATGCCTTAGATTGAGATTTACAGCATATGGGTCCAAACCACACTTTATGTTTAAAAATGAACACGGTCTAATTTTTTTAAAGAGAGGATGTTTACTTAGTTAAATTTATTGACATTCTGAAATAGTGTCTAACAGCTGGGCATGGTACTGTGGTTCTCCCATGCGTTCCAACATGAAAACGCCGGGAGTGAGGCAGAGCAGCCTGGTTCGTCATGGCGAGCTGCGGGTGCAGGTAAAGGGAAAGAGAAAAGAGGTAAAAACCCAGCTTAGAGGGACAGTGGAGAAATACCTCAAAAGGCTTCTAAAGAGTCATGATGATGACCACAGAGCAGTATCAATGATACGATCCCGTTTGGGGAAAAGCAAGCAATCTACCTGTGAGCATGATCGGAAGGAAAGAGACCCTCCAAACCACCAGTGGTTGGTTGCGATTAGTAGTGGCTGGTATATACATGTTTCCTTTCTTTTTTTTATAAATGAGTGTGTGTGATACATGGACTTTGTTCATCAGCAGCTACTCCCTGCTGATGTAGGTCAGCTCACTAAAGCTCCCCAGTTCACTACAAGCTGAGCAACGCTGCTTTGGAGCCCCTTGGCTGGGGCTGGAGGTGAGAAGGGGCAGGCAGGAACAAGCAGGGGGCTTTCTATGGAACTTTCCCTTGTTCCAGAAGCTATGTCTTCAGACCACATGGCTTCTGCGGGGCCCGAAGCAGGGGACCAGCTGGGAGAGTAGCTTCACGCTGGGCTGGCTACCCCAGCTAGGGAAGGAGGCAGAAGAGCCCCAGAGACCATCTCTCTCCCCACTGACACTCTGGCTCCAGATCTGTTCTCAGACCCTCAGTTCCTCCAAACATCCAGGTCCTTCACCGCCTGGGGAAAGCCGAGACAGGCCAGGCTGCCTCTGTGACTTGGCAGACACTTTCATACAGAACAGGGCAGCCAAGAGCTTGCCCCAGGCAGAGGCTCAGTCCAAAGCTCTGCTTCCCTCTCTCATTTCAGTACATCCCCATGCCAGTACTCTATGGAGTCTTTCTCTACATGGGCGTGGCCTCCCTGAATGGCATCCAGGTAAGGCTCTCCCCTTGGGGTCAGCACTCCAAGTCTGGGTCCATGTCACCAAGACCCCAAGTGCTCGCTTTCCCGGTTCAATGTGACAATAACAGTAATAATAAGACTACCATTTACTATGTGCCAAGTAAAATCACTATACCAGGCACTTTGTAGGTGTTATATAACTAGTCTGTCCTCTGATACCAATTTCATAGATGAGGAAACTGAGGCTCAGAATTCAGAACCCAGGTCTGGCTGACTCCAATGATCATTTCACCACATCTCTCTTCTCTAGGGCAATGCTGGCAGAACACATTTTGTTTTGTTGTTTACTTGCCATAATACACAGGATGTTTTGAATGATTTGTGTTGCAATTACGTTGCATTTTCTTTGGCTGTGGACAGTGCTCATTTGCAGCCAGCTGAAGGGCGTAGCCCTCACCCAGGGCCAAGCGCCCTCCCCTAAGATCTTGCTACCTCCAGTTCTCTTTCTGTGAGTCCTTAACGCCTGACCAGGGGCTCCCCTCTATGAGGCCCCACTGCAGTACCCCTTCCCCCCACCCCAAGCCCCCAGCAGGGCCACCCGGGTCCCCACTGCTGGCTGAGCCTCGCGCTGTCCTCTCCAGTTCTGGGAGCGCTGCAAGCTCTTCCTGATGCCTGCCAAGCACCAGCCAGACCACGCCTTCCTGCGGCACGTGCCCCTGCGCCGGATCCACCTGTTCACCCTGGTGCAGGCGCTGTGCCTGGCTGTGCTCTGGGTCCTCAAGTCCACGGTGGCCGCCATCATCTTCCCGGTCATGGTAAGGTGGGGCCGGCTTCCCCACCTGTTGGATGGATTCAGCCTGGGAGGGTGTCCACGGGGAGGTCCACCCTCGCCTTCTCCTTCCCAATGGCCTGGCTTTCTCGTCCGGCGGGCACAGAACAGGATGGGGGCTGAGTCCAGGTGGGGCTGGGGACGTGGACAGGAGGACAGGGGAAGGTCTGTGCAGTGGTCCAACCCTGCAGTGACAATTCGCACTCCCACCTCCACCCAGCTCGGGTGGCAAAGCTCAGCGAGAATGCAAAAGCCACTCAGCCTCCCCGACTCTGGGGCAGGAGGGAGCTGGGTGAATGGGACAAGGAGACTGGGACAAGGAGACTAAGGTCCCCACTGCTGACATTCAAACCAAGCGAAGAAGTAGATCATGCTAAATAGAAAGCCTTTCACCGTTCAAACTGACTGAATTTGAAAAGCTAAAGGGGGCGGGGGGTGGGGAGAGACAACCAGAATCTGAGATCAAGAACTTCAAAGCCCAATGTCACTAACATGACATTTGGGGAACGTGCACGAGAGTTCTGTGACTGTTCTGGCAAGTTTTATGTAAGTTTGAAAGTACTCCAAAATAAAAAGTAAAAAAGAAAAAAACCCAAAGCATGTTGCATCTGGCTCCTAGATAGCCGCACCCGAGGGAAGTGACCCCGGCCCCCTGCGGGGGTGTTGGAGCCTGTGAGCTAACACTCAGGGAGAGCCCTGGGTGGACCCCAAGGCCTGCAGGGCTGGAGCTGGGGCTAAGGTGAGGACAGGAGGTAGGAGTGGAAACATGCCCTCCTGGGAGGAAGCTACGTAAGTGATTTTTGACCCAAGCTTCTCCTTAGGGTCCCCAGCATCCAGAGGTGTGCATTCACAGCCCACCAGGTGATTTGATGCAAGCTCAAGTTGGGGGATCACTATTTAAAGAAGTTCTCCAGCCCATAGTCTCCACCTGGCTCCCCGCCTCAGCCATCGCAGGCTCTGTCCCTCTGGGTCACTGGTGGGCATTGTCACTCCACTGAGGAAAGCCAGGCAGGATCCAAGGTGGGCAGGAGGTGAATAATGGTTTGTGGGAGCTTTGAGATGACTCCAAAGACGCTGCCCAGAAAAAGCCCTTGAACACGGCTGACCAAGGGAGAAAGAGCTGTGCCCACGTTTGGGAACCTGATCCTGCCATTTTCTCTGAACTCCCCACAGATCCTGGGCCTCATCATCGTCCGAAGGCTGCTGGACCTTCTCTTCTCACAGCATGACCTGGCCTGGATTGACAACATCCTCCCAGAGAAGAAGAAAAAGAGAAGGAAAGGGGCCCACGAGGACAGTGACGAGGAGGTGGGGAGGATGTGAGGCCTGGGACAGGGGGAGAAATCTAGAGACCCTCCCTCCGCTTCTGTCAGAGCCAGGCATGGGGTGGCTCCTCAGGTGGCCTGCAGCGCCCAGGCCAGGAGGAGCCAAGGCTTCTGCTTATCTTGGTCTGTTTATGTGAATATCCTCAGGGTGGGCCAGAGCGAAAGAGCCCCCCACCCACGGAAAAGTTGGTTGGCCAAGCCTACCCCTTCCCATTCCTGTGGGCTCCTGGGGCCATTGTCAACAGCTACACAGTCCCCTGAGGGAACAGGATGGGGCCTGGCTCCATCAAAGAGGTTACAGTCAGGGGGGATGGGTCAGATGGAAGCTCACTAGCAAACTGGACTCCTGGACAGACCGGAGGACTGGGGCAAGGTTGGCTTGGCCCTGCTCTTAGGGTATCAGGGTATTAGGATAAGAGGGAGGGGAAGAGACACGTGTCCTCCCTGAAGGAGGGTGGCTACATTCCCCAGATGCCTGCAACCCCTCGGTTGCCCTGACTACCCCTCCCTTTTTCCATGTCTCCTCCCCATCCCACCCCCCAAACACTCAGGGAGTCAACAGACAAGCGGTCCAGAGCTTATAGCAAATCACAAAATGTTAGACAGAAAGATTGTCTGGTTCAAGTGCTCGTTACAGATGAAGAAACTGAACCCCAAAACAGAAGTGGTTCACTCAAGGTGGACATATCGCTAAATGTCTTAGAGGGATTTAAGACATTGACTCCTGACTTTGAATCCAGTGTAGTCAGCTGCCCGTGACATCTCGCCCCATGCCTGGCTCCCATCCTCCCAGTTTGACCCCAAACCACATCCCTGCATCATCCTAGAGCTGTTCTCCTCATGATCTTGTCTTTTGCAGATCAAAACTGTTCTGAGGCAAATTCTTGCTGACTGATTGGTGGTGATTAAACCATCTTCTGGTGGTAGTGAGACCAAAGCTCCCCTGGTCCTTAATTACTGTCCTCTTCTAGGAAGGGAAGAGGTCCTTTTATTCATTCACATTTTTCATTGATGCTTTAGATGATTTGCAAAGATAAGTTCTGAGAACAAAGAAACTTGAGAGTCTAAGAGCCTTTTAAAGACAAATACTTCTTTCATTGATTCATTCAATAAATATTTGAGTGCTACCATGTACCTGGAACTGTTCCAGGGTTGGGGGGAAAATATCTGGATTAAATGATATATTCAGTGGAAAAATGGGCTTCCATTTATACAAATTCATTTTACATATGACCTTATACAGCTATCAGGTGAGGTTCACTCCCAGATGACTGGTTACCATGACAGTTGAAGCTGTTCTGAGTAGCATTCCCAGAAGAGTTCCATCCTGCCTAGAGCAGCGACTAAGCATGGTGCCCCCTCAGTAGGCCTGAGCGCATTTGCAGCACCCCCTATCTGTTTAGTCTGGATGTGTAGGTGGCAGTTTGCACACTGTGGGTATATTTTCCATCTTGGCAAGAAAGCCAAAGCTATTGTACTGGTGGTGTTTATCAGCTTTTCCTACTGTTTCTCTCCAGCCCCAGTTCCCTCCTCCCTCAGTTATAAAGATTCCCATGGAAAGTGTCCAAACAGATCCCCAAAATGGTATCCACTGCATTGCCAGTAAGTAAAACACATGATGTCTGTCTCTTCCTCCCTACTAACTCTTCACCTCTTCCTCAAGGAACTTCCATCTTTAATTCAGGGGTTCTAATGGTCTTAGATGCTAGAGGACCACCGTGCTAGGCAGAGCTCAGGCAGAACTGGGCCACAAGGATTGGGAGTCCAACCAGACGGAAACCTCAGATCAACTCTGCAGATTCCAGTGAGCAATCTTCACTTTAGGCAAAACCTCATTCCTCCCCTTCCTCTGGTGCCCCAGATGTCTGTGGCACCTCTCTTGCCCTGCTTTAGACCACACTGATCCAAGCATGACCCACTGAGCCTCCCATGCTGCCCAGTGACTGTTGAGATGACAGAGCTCAAGCCCAAGCTGAGTTGTCCTTTAGAAAAACAGGTAGCATCACATTTGGATTATAACTTAAAAGGTTCCAGTAGTTGGGCTGTTTCTGTACAAATGATAGTCATCTTCCACCTGCTGAAAGGAGGCTGCCCGGGAAGGATGCAGCATTGTTTATGGAGATCCTGGGGGATTCTGTTGCTCCCCTTACCTGCTCCCAGCCTCAGCTCCCTATTTGTGGACAGTCCTGTCACTGAGAAAACACAGCTTGAGGGCCCAACCTGAGTCCAGACCCCATTGCTCCTCATATAGAGCTTGCCACTTTCCTTGAAGACCCAGATTATGGATCCTGCCAGTCCCCTCAAGCCCTTGGCGGGCTTCCCATCCTACTCTCTATCAGATACCTCTGAGTTTCTCGCTCTTTCCCACTTCCTATTTGTATAATTTTATCACCCTTCCCTGCTCTTCCCTGGCCCTCCCACCCCTCCCACCTACCTAACTTGACTGAGCTTTCTAATGAAGGAATAGCTGAACCACCCGTCCATATGAGGGCCCTGTGTTCCTCTTGTGTCGTGTTGGCCATGGGGCTAGAGAATAGAAACGGGTAAGGGAAGCACTGGAAAAAGAGGATCTCCTCCAGTGTGTTCCCAAACCTGCGCCACAGCTGACGTTCTAATTTTCCTGCCAGGAAAAAGATCTTCCAGTTGGAGTTACTCGTTCTGATTCTTCCTTCAGTGACTCAGAACTTGATCGAAGGTAACAGCCACGAAGTGTACTCCTTGGGTGTTGGATAAGAAACTAAACACTGGCTGGGAAGGTTGAGGGATTAGGATCTCCCAGACTAGCCAGTGTCTCAGTAAAAGCCCTTTGTGGTCCACCATGGAGAGAAAGGCTGGCAGGCCTGATTATTGGGTGTCTAGTAAAAACATGTCCTCTTAATGACATAAAAACATGATTACAACACACAAAGGTACTCAACTTCAGAAGAGGAAATTATTATAAAATATTAGGTAAAATGAAAATTAAAAGTAAATACTTAAAAATAGAAAACAACATAGAGGAAAACCAGATATGACTTAAGTATATATTATCAAAAGCCAGGATAAAGGCACTCTAAGGGTAAAAACATCAGGTAATCTAGTACTCTGTAGAATAAAATAACAGCATGGTTAATTAGCAGAGATCAGAAAGGGTATCGGAGAAAGCTAAGTATCAAAGATTAGGTAGAGATGAGAAGAGTCCGAAAGGATTCAAGGCCTGGTTTCCAGGAGCCCCTGCCAACAGGGTGATTCCTACCTGTTTTAAATGAGAGCCACCCATGCAGAAAGTGGGACCGCTTAATGGTTGAAAACAGTGGCGGGAGGGCCTCAAAAATGGAAAAGAGCAATTCAGAGGCAAGAAAGTCTGCCTCAGATTCACTAGGGAAGATGGTAGAGGCAGTCCTACTCTTACACTGTGCCCCACACTCAACAGACAGCAGTCTGTCCTGGGTTAAACAGTAAAAGCACAGGCTATCCAAAGTCTAGAGGCAGATGAATCTCCACTTACATGGCACTCTCTCAAGGGGTTTTAGGAAACATGTACAGGGTCTTCTGAGTTATACGTCAGAGCTGCTACCACGTGCCAGGCTGGGAAGAAACTTACCAATACCACCCTCCCTAAGTAGCAGGCCCGAGGCTACTCCAGCCCAGGAGAGTCACATGTCCAAATTACATCTCTGCCTGCCTTCTCACCCCCTCTCCCAACCAAGGCTCTTATACCCTTAGTCACTGACCTTTATATATAAATGTGTTAGGAGAAAAGCAGTCTGTCTACCCTGATTTATTTTCGTTTTAAAATAGCCTACACTAAACTGAATCTCTGTCCCAATTTCAGTCAGTGGAGACAGGATTTGGACAAAGACAGGGGATTTCAAAAACCCTGTTAAATTATAAAAAGCATGAGACAAAGGCAGAAATGTAGCAAATTTGGTAATTGGCAGTGGCACCTCCCACCTACATGGGTGTTTGACCGAGTCTAGGGAAGCAGAGACCACTAAGGGGCCAGGATTTCATCGCAGTGAAGAAAAAGATCAGTCAGCAACATGATCTAATCTAACAAAGGTTAAGCATCATGGTCTCCCAGGCAGGAGGCTTCATCCCTGGGGATACAGAAAGACAGGCACGTGAGCAAGGACACCCAGCACCCTGCACCAAGAACAATGGAGCACACGCGAAAGAACAGCGGTCTAAGGGGCGGTTTCCTTATCTGGGGCACCGAGGACAATAACAAGGAGTCCCCTAGATAAAGTGAAGGAGAGAGAAAAGGGCATTTCAGGCCAGTACAGGCCGGAAATGCCACTTGAAAACACATACACACTCAGGGCAAAGAACACAGGGATGGATGGAGCAAACTACAAGTAGGGGCTTGGATGCTATGAACAGTGGGAAACCATGAAAAAACTTAAGCAGGGGAACCACAGACAGATTTGGGATCCAGACAGCTCCTTTGGCAGCAACGTGAAGAGGTTGAAACGGGCCAAGACCAGCAATGAACAGCTGAAGGCCAAGCAGATAGGACACTGCCAGTTCCCATGACGTGTTACGATTCCATAAGCAGAGGCAGAGCTGCCTGCATTGGAGCCCTGCTCTGGGGGATCACATGGAAAACGCAAACATTAGATAAATCACTCTCCCCTCCTTTCTCTCATTCAGCATCACCTTGCACTTCAAAATCTCCTGTCCAGCTTCACCTGCTTTCAACTACTCTCAGAGTCCAGTGTTCATGGTGCCACAGGTGAAGGTAGAGGTGGAGTCAGACTGTGACTTCACAGACATGGACAAGTACGGAAAAGAAGGTGTCGGCGAGACCACCCTCTAGGAGGACATGGTGTCCCCAGAGAGGGCACAGAGGGAGGGTGTGGCTTAGTCTTCATTGTGAGGGGCTGGGCCACAACCCTCAACTTCTGGGCCCCTTGGTTTCCTTATTTACCAAACAGAGTCATTATTCCACTTGATAGAAAACTGGAGAGCTGTTGATGAAAAGTAGTAATTAGGTGCAAAAGTCTCCCCTTCCCTTTGTTGTTATGAAATAACTAAAGTGAAATGCTATACCTTATTTTAAAATGCAGTCCAGCATAGAAATAACATTTCTTTTGAAATTAAAAAAAAAATGCTTACCTCCCAAAACTAGTTAAGGGGCAACAGTCCATTTTTATTTAAAATAAGTTAACAGTTGAGAATTTTTTTAAAGGTTAAAGTATCTAGATGATTTTGAAAGAACTGTTAAAATACCCATACTTCAATAGAGCAAGGCTGAAAAATTCATCTTGCCATTTTGCATATTAGAAAATGCTTAAAGGTCCCACCTTTTCTCTCCATCTCATTCCATTTGCTAAGGATCGTATGAAAAGCTTGAACCATCTGTATTATGGGCCTTGCTCCAGCACAGAAGTGTGACTGGGGCTTTCCCAGATTGAGAAGCCAGTTTCAAAAGCCCGTTAATGAAAGAACCTACACATTTGAGTGGATACATTTTTAAAATAAAAGTTCTTGTTAAAGTCTCAAACCATGTTAAATCAACAAAATGATCCTCTGAATTAATATCACTGGTTTTTCATGCCCAGAATCAAATTTCTGGGCATTTGGGTAGGTCCTTCCGGCAAGTTCTCAATGGTCTGATTCCCAAAGTCAAACTCCCATTCACATGAACATTGCATGTTAGGCAGAGCTGATGTCAAATTGTGGAAGATTATAACTTTGTAATATTAGACTAATACTTTAAAGGAATGATTAGAAACAAGTTGGGTAGATTAAAACCCATTGTTAATCAGGTAAACCCTTTCCTCAAGAAACAAGATCAGTCTTTATCTTCAATCCACATTTAACAAATGCCAACCATGCTTTCATTTAGCAACTACTATGTGCCTAATAGCCACAACGCATCTGACAAAACAACTATGGACTTGAATCTTGAAAAAATCACTTTGGTTAGTTACTGTATTTACTCGAGATGACAAGTCCAGGTGCTTCTTCATTTCTTCCTATTTTTTAAAGACAAACGACACTAGATCATTAACACCTTGAGTCACTGGGACAGTTAAACGTCTCTGTAATTCCCAAAGCCTGGTCCAGTGACTGGTCTATAGAAACCTCTTAAGTGTTTATTAAATTAAACCTCAGAGCTCCCTTCCAAGGGATACTGCCAAGAGGTAAAGCTCTAAACCTCTACCACTTCTGATAGCAGCAGAATTACTTAGCTGCTCACTAATTCAGGACCATCCCAAGTTTAAGTATAAATTCTTTATCTTCATCTGTACCTATCCTAAGAGAGCTAACAATCTACCCTTAACATTTCACTTTTAAAACTTGGACGACTTTCAGTAGCACTTTGTCCAAATTAAATTGTAGAAATGTTATGGATTCAGGAGTAAATATGCTTGATTAATCAAACTGAAAAACTACAATGTAAATTTTTTTCTGTTGTAAATCAATCACTGTAATTTTCACCTTACAGGTCATTTATACCTTGTATATACATGAACATTTTAATTTTGATAGCTTTAACAGGTTGACATACTACTTCTCCGCGCAGGTCAGTACTTTTTTCCACATGTAACTGCAGTTCAATAAAATGTAATCCTGTCTGCTCACCTGGCTCCTTGTTTAATAATTTAAGTCAGCAAGCATGGTTTATGGACACCAGCTACACCTTACTTACAAAAACATCTCCAGCAAATGAGCATCTTCTTTCATCTCCAGAAAACTGTCAAAAGAATGAAGGCAGCTGGCAGAGGAACAGGAGGGAAGAGGTCTCAACTCCCCATTGTTCTTTCTCTGTCTGCCTCAAGCTGCAGGGAAGCGGCTTCTGCCTGCACCTGCATGGAAACCAAAGTACCCAGGCCTGGTAGAGAATGCAAAGAGACCTAGCCTAGCCTCAAAATGTGCACAGCAATACCTTCCAATCTGCCAAATCAAACACACCAATTACAAAAATTTTTATACACATACACACACACACACACAGAGAGAAAGAGAGAGAACTTGGGAACACATCAAGTCCTTTGTAAACTGAACAATGTGTAAATTGAATGCATGGTTTAGAAAATACCTAGAATAAAACTAAACACTTAAATGAATCTTACAGATTAAGGTCCTGGCACAACCTGTTGGGATGTAAGACTAAATGGACTAGGCTGGTTTCTCCATAGCTCTTCAAATCAGTTTGTTTAAGGCATAGGAATGGGTGTTACCAATTATAGAAATAGCTAGATCCAATGAGAAAAATTAACTATCATTAGGTCATAACTAAGACGATACAGTAGCAGGAAGATACAGTATTTCAGAAACTTATTTCATACCAGTCAGAAGTGTTTTATTTAAAAAAACAAAATAAAACAAAACAAAAAACCCTTAATCAGAAAGTCTGATTAAATTCAATATTAACTCAAGCTTTCAAAAACCTACTGGGGAAAGCCAATAGGTGCCTCAGAGAAAGCAGGCAGCTGCTGACAATTCTTTGGTGGAAAGGAAGTTGCATACTTATACAAGCTGCCCTAATGATTATCAAGCTCAAGATTCGTTTTTCAAGAATAGGTTTCAAGATCTACCAAAGAAACCATAGTACAAAAATTTAACAATGAAGTTTAAGGATATAGGAAAAAACAAATATGACAGTGCAAATGAATTACTTATAAAATAAGACTTTCGATGCCAGCAAACTCAAATGGGGAGACCTAATGAATGGCAGCACACATAAAACAAAGGTTAATAGCACATGGAACAACCATAGACATTTTCCCAATGACTAAACTACAAAATAACAGGATACTATTAACAGGTAGCTTTTCTTCTGGTTATCAGCCAATACGTATAAAATTAGGGTAAATTTTTTCTACTCAATTATTATCATTTCCCTAATCTCCTTCAGCAACATTCTTCCTTTGGTTTGACCCGTTGAACTCAAAAGGTTTGGAACCTAAAGTGAGTATTAACTCTTACTGGAATAGCACTTGGGAAATGCAGTCTTAGAAAAGGCAAACTGTAACTGAAGTGGTGTGACAAAGTGACACAGCCATTCTCAATGTGACAGTGTGCCCCTCCGCAATCACCAGGCTAACGGCTCCTCTTATGGCTACAACGCGTGATTCAGCATGTTAATGGCACGTTCCCTGGTGAGGTACTGCGGAGCTGTGTGCGCAAACACCCACCCACTTAAGTTTTCAATAAATACAAAGCATCATTGAAAACCATGCCAGTAGAATAAATAAAAGATGTTGCATTTCTATTGGCCTGTTTTGCCTCTTGAAGCGGCTTGGAGTTACTGTTCATGACACAGGAGACGCAAGAGTTAATTAGTTGCCACTCCAAGCTCTTTAGACTTCAGTACTTCCCGCTCTTCAAGCCTCAGCACCTTTTTTGCAGCAATAATGGTATTCTTCATCAGCATCGCCACTGTCATGGGACCAACACCCCCAGGGACTGGAGTGATATAACCAGCTTTCTTTCGGACCTCTATATAGAAACAAGATGGGAAGGCTGCTTTAATTATGACAAAGGATATGTGTGTATTTTAACATATCATGGAAGAAGAATTAAAAAAAAGCAATAATATACATAAGCACCTTCATAAGCCTCAAACTCATAAAAATCACATCTAATTACTCAAGAGTAAAGGCATTTGAACATACTAATAAAATAAGATGCACATAATAAGCAGAGTTGTTCAGTGAATATTTATACATCTAAATAACCTGTAATCTACAAGCCACACTTTCCTCCATATTAAATCAACTTAAAAAGAAACATCTCAGTAGGTTAACTGTACAGGAGGTGTACCTATAATAAGCATTACCTCAATTAATACCTACCTACAACACTTTCTGAATTTTACTTTATTTATATATACTATATTTATTTATACTGTTTGCCCTAAGTATCAAGCAAAGTACTTTTCTGGAAAGAAATAGATATTTGTTGTTCCACTTATTTACTCATTCATTGGTTGCTTCTTGTATATGCCCTGACTGGAGATCAAACACACAATCTTGGTGTATCAGGACGATGCTCTAACCAACTAAGCACCTGGCCAGGGCTTTAACTCAATCTTAAGGAAAAAAAACTTAGATACCTAGGCTTGGTTCTGACTGCTTTAATAGAAAGAGAAAGCTAGAAATAGAATTATCAGCATAAAATTCAGATAAACATAATACCTTAAGAACTGAAAGGAGGTATCTACAGTACTAACAAATGCCAAATGTTTAAGAACAGGGCTTTTTTCCTGGACTGTTTTACATTCCAGGACTGGGAGCTCGCCTAATGTGAAAATGAGAAATCTGTAACACTTTTTAGGAGACTCAATGGCTTAGGAAAATCACTTCATTAAATTTTCAGACTTGTTAAAAGTCTTGAAGTTGTTTTTAATGATGAAATAACCCTAAGAAAAAACAATTCCCTGAAAAGCTTATACCTGGTGTCCATAATTTTATGATATAAACACCTAAAATTCTAGAATGTCTATAATTTTAAAAACGATTTCTCTTAGTTCTTGTGGAAAGCATTTTAAATGGTATTACCAGGGTAACACAAGTTTAAAAGTTAAAGAAAAAGTATATGATCAATCCTAAATATCCATTAAAGGTAGTATTTATTGACTTTATATTTTTTAAAAATTATACTATTTACCTTCAAAATCCACATCTCCCACCAACTTGGGTTTAGCAGTGATAGGATCCTGAATTCTATTTATTCCCACATCAATGACGGCTGCTCCTTCCTTAATCATATCTGCTGTGATCAAATTTGGAATGCCTGGAAATGGAAACAGGAACGATCACCTTAGTAATGAAAAACAGATTCCACCTGTCAGATTCTTACCTAATTTCAATTTCAAGAGAGCTGAAAGAACTAATTAGCTTGTTTTATAAAAGCCTACAAGAACTATTAATATTAACCAAGGAAACATTTAAACTTCATATAGTAAACAAATCTTTTGAGACTATAGAAATAACATTCATCCATCAAGTCTACAATGAAATGACAGAAACCACTACACCAACCACAGCTCTTGCCTCATCTTTGTAGGCAGCTCGTAGTGTCATCCCAGGGTAACGATGAACAGAATGGCAGTGAGGCAGGCAAATGCTAAGATAAGAGGTCAACCTTCTGAGGTCCCTTCTGTCCCCCTCCCTGGTGTTCTTACCTGCAGCAGAGACCACAATATCTGCAAGAATTGTATGTTTCTTTAGCTGCTCTTTGGGAGTGTGTCGATGAGATATTGTAACAGTGGCATCACCTACGAGTTAAAAATTAAATGTCTTGATTTCTGAATCAAAGTTGGGATTGGACTAGGTGTCAACTAGGCAAACCATTGTAGAAACTGAACATCTGTGAAAAATTACTTTATTCGTGTGCCATACTTTCTGGACAGCCAATTATCTTTTTTTAAAATTAATACTCAATTTCTTGTAACTTTAATTACACACAGTAACCCTGATTTGAGGCTTTTTCTCAAACAAATTAACAGAATTTGACATAATGACACATTACGGTCACATTAATTCAATCCTTTGCAATGGTCTAAGATTTTTTCCTACCAAATGACATAGAACAGGATACTAACTTTGAACAAGAATTGCTTCTTAGCTCCAACTATTCAAGCCATAACTGAAAATTTCTAATTGCCTACAACTATGTTTATACTCAAAACTCAAATTTATTTCTAGGCATATCCATATCTGAACTAGTTCCATAATAAATGAATATAAATAAACTCTCAGGTGACACTGAGTACAGCTTCTCCTACAAAGATTATACCCCAAATATCTGTGAACAAAATCACAACAAATGCAAACACATTGAAGGTTTTCCCATAAGGAAGACAAGGACACTCCTCTGAAAGCCATGTGCTTACCTCCAGGACGTTCATGCGCCCCGTCTGTGTGTAGTAACATTGCAATGGGCATTCCAACATTTTTTGACCTTCCAGCTACAACCACATTCTTCCCTAGAGTTGGAATGCCTATTAAAAAATATACATATATATTTGCATTAAAAGCAATGTCAGAATGTCTTAGGGCACCAAAGGAAAAGGAAGGCAGATGGCCTAGGACATGAAAATGAAGGGAATTGCTAAGCTTATTGGGTCAATTGGCCCTATCCCTTGAAGGCAAAAGAAAACATTTGTAAGCTACAAAATGTTACTATCATATCACTATTACTAAAGTTTAAGCTTCCTTCACTGAGGTTTCTGGATTAAATAGCAAAAACAATCATAGGCAACTGCCAGAAAGGCTGTGGGGAGTAGGACTAGAGGTCATGGGTGGGAGTTTTCACTTTTACCATTTGAAAGTACCACTTTTATAATACTAACATAGACATACGATTGTGGGATATACCTACCAGTTCGCTTAATTATTTCCCACACACCCCATGGAGTAGCCGGCAACATGGAATACTGGTCCAAACACATTCGCCCCACATTAATTACATGAAAGCCATCAACATCTTTGTCTGGAGAAACAGCATTGCAGATCTTTCTCTCATCTATGTGCTCTGAAAAAGAAACCAGAGCAGCGGCCATACGTCACGGTTGCACAGCCAGAACTGCTTAACTCCAGCTTATCTGATTTGTTAAGCAAATCTGTTCCCCTTCTAAACTTGCCTTTACTTGCCTCCATGATTTACTTCTTACATCTGCACAAAAGGAACACATTAAGCAAAACCAAATGTCAGTATCAAAGCCAAAATCCTCTTGTACAACTGCTTCCCTGCTCTGATCTTTGTATCAAGATCTCAACGCCAAATCAAGGAGTAACTGGTATTCTGATGTGGGGAAGGAAAAATTATTTCTCCTCCCACCTTTCAAATCCTTCTGGCTGGACTAATAATCAAATTAGCAGGAGGCAGATTAACAGGAGAAAATGTCCAAATTTATTATGTATGTATATACTGGGACTCCATAAGAGTAAGTGACTGGCCCTGGCTGGGTAGCTCAGTTGGTTACAGCATTATCCTGATATGCCAAGGTTTCAGGTTGGATCCCAGGTCAGGGCACATACAAGAATCAACTAATGAATGCATAAATAAGTGGAACAACTAACTGATGTTTCTCTCTCTCTAATCAATTTAAAATATATATATATATTATATATACATATATATATATATATATATATGAGACCCAAGACAGATTGTGCAATTAAGGCTTATATGTCATCTTGAGCTAAGGAGAAGGGGGGTTGTGGGTGGGGCTGCAAAGGGCAGGAAGGTAATTCACATGGAGACGGAAAAGCAAATGTTTGGTAAATAAATGTTTGCTGGACCATTTTTAAAAATGGGCCAGAGAGAAGACTTGGATTAAAGGGGTTCGCGAGGTTCCTCTCCATCTATCACACCTAGTTCACATTAATCTATAGTTATCTGTGATGTTATCTCCCTTCCTGGAGCAGGTCCTCTATCTAAATTCATTTAGGCAGTTAGGGGAAAGAAGGTCAAAGGTTTTCCCTGAGTCTTCTGTTTCTTGAAAACAACGAGCTTAAAATAATCAATATTCCAAAAGGCATATTTTAGGGTGGCAAACTCTGCTTCCCCCTACTGAGTAGGTTTGCCCCAGTTTTTAATAAAAAACTCACTCTCTTGAGTTTACTGCCCCTTTGAGTCAAATTCACAAGGGGCCAGCTGCCTAAAGTAACCAAGCCTCTCCACTCCTCAGAAACCATTTCAAATGGTGGCGTCCAAAACTCACCTGGAAGTGGCAGCTGAATGAGGAGGCCATCTACATTATCATCATTATTTAGTTTGTTGATTAAATTCAACAGTTCATCCTCTGAAATTGAAGCTGGTTTCACAATTGTCTCACTGTTGATTCCTATAAGGAAATTTCAAAGTTAAAAAATATTGGAGCGTTTACTGAGCAATGCAATGTTGCCTGCCACAGTCTTCTACCATTGAGGCTTTTTATTATCACACCCACCCTGGTAGCTGTAAAGCTTGAATCGGCTCAAAAGGAACCTAAAACAGTAACGTCACAAATATATACACTAGAGAATGCTAGCTTGACATTTCCTACATAGTGTTCTATGTAATCCTCACTTTACAAACAGGAGACTGAGGCACAGTGAAACTAAAACAAGCCAGCTAGTGGCGAAGCCGACCTTCTCGTTTCAAAGTCCCTGTTTTTCCACTGCAGCAGGGTGCCTCCCAATGTCTTAGAAAGCCATGCTTGCTATTTCCTAGAAGCTCCAAGGGTTTTCAACGAAAAGGGCAGGAGTTCTCAATCTTCAGTAATAAAGAACAGAGTACACCAATTGAAAAAGAAAAAAAAAAATAGAGTATACAAAGGGCTCCCGGTCCGGTCACGCGGCCCAGCCGGGTCAGTGCTTTCACAGCCCTTCAGGCAGGCAGGGCACCTGCTCAGGCTGCGGACCCGCGACGGGCTCACCCACCTCCGGTCTACCCACCCACCAAGCCTGTGCCGCAGTGAGACCAGAGCACAGAGTGCCCGTCACCCAGACCCACGCCTCTGCATTCAAAACTCCAGCCACTTCTACACGGCAGGATTTAATTGGCTTGGGAACCAACCGGTGAAGAAATCATAAGGTATTTCCCGGAAGTCAGTCATTCACTTCCTTGAGCTCGGTCTGTGTCCGAGGCTGCTCGCTGAGGTCGCCTCAGTCTACCCCCGCGCTGCGCTCCTTAAGCTGCAAGCGCTCAAGCTCCCGGGTCAGGCCTCATCACTGCTCAAGGAGAGCAGACGCACCCTGGGTTCAAGGCCACCTGTCCAATGTTCAAACTAAGAAACAGAGGCAAAGGTAAGATAAACCAGTTTCCTTCTGGCCTAGCCTACTGGCCTCCCCAGTAGATAACACCCGGATTTCTGACAGTTTGGGCTCCAGTTTAACCATATTGGCCTCCTCAGCTTGGGTGTCTAGTCAGAGAAATAGAAAAAGAAATTACAGTGGAGTTTGCCTCCGATAAGCCTCTTTCAAAGCAGTCGGGGTCTGAGAGACACCTACCCACGTCGGCGGCGGCCCTGGTTTTGTTGAGGACGTAGGAATGGCTGGCGGGATTCTCGCCCACCAGAACCACGCTGAGGTGCGGCCGCCTGCTGCCCGCGGCCACCCACTCCTCCACCTCCTGCCGCACTTCCTGCTTGATCTGCTGCGCCAGCTTCTTCCCAGAAATGACGACCGCTTCACTTCTGCAGAAGGCAACGGAGCCACAGAACCAAATACCAGCTTGAGTTTTTGTAAAAAAAAAAAAAGCATCAGACTACAAAAAAGTATTCCTAAATGCCCCAAATTTTGAGGGGTAGAAGAGGGAATTGGAGGAAAGTGGCCAAAAGGTACAAAGTTCCAGTTATAAGATAAGTAAGTACCAGGAATCTAATGCACAACACGATGACTACAGTTAAGGCTGCTGTGTGATATATAGAAAAGTTAAGAGAGTAGATCCTAACTAAGAGTTTCAGCACAAGGAGAAAAAACTTTTTCTTTTTATTGTATCTGTATGACATGATAGATGTTAGCTAAGCCTATTGTGGTAATCATTTCACAAATCAAACCATCATGTGTATACCTTACACATATACAGTGGTGTATGTCAATTATTTCTCAATAATGTGGGGAAAAAATATCCAAAACTTGAAGTTTATATTAAAATACACTGTGCCTAACCTGAGGAACAAGTGAAATCTGAAGAACAAGTTCAAAGTGGGAAATCTGTATCCAGCTACATGTTTAGGGGGATAAAGTTGATTGATACAGTTACGATGATTAATCTGAAGCTCAGGGAGTTTAAGTAACTGACAGCTAGTACTTGGTACAGTTGGGTCTCATACTCAGCTCTGTCTGAATCCAGAGTCTAGGCTCTTAATACAACAGCCTCCTGCCTCCTGATCATTTACAAATTGATAGGCAAAACCCCCCACAAAAACAAAACAAAAGAGTGTTTTACTTTGCACTGTTTTATTTGACCCCCTCAACACTGTGAGGTTAAATAGCTTTTCCTATATGCTAATAAACCATTTGTAGCTTATGTTTTGCCTGTGTTGTTAGCATTCAGTCACATGACATAGACAAGAAAGAGCACTCATGTTGGAGGGAAATCTGCTGTTGGGGGTGGGGCAATGAGGGAACTCAGGATCTGAAGGAACCTCCAGTTACCAAAACCATGTTCAGATCTTTGAAAGACTATCTCTTCCCAGCAAGAACTGGTTACATAGCTTTTCTTGGGATCCAATATGGAAGATTCCTGGTTTTCGTATTTCTATACAAATCTTTCCAATAAAGTTCCCATTACTTAAAGTAGGATAAGCATCTGTTCTTTAAGCAAAAAGATGCCACTGACAACAAGTCTTTCCCTTTAGATTTGTGTCCTCAGTGTCATGAGCAATGCACCAACCTTAAGACCAATAAAACATAATTGTCTGAAACATTAAAACAATCTATTTCCTCTCAGGGCACATTATTTAATGCTCAAGGATAACATCAAGGTACTGGATGTATTGTATGGTCAAATATGATTAATTCTCCAGGCCTGATAATTAAAATAGAATTTTAAAGTTTTAACAGTCTTTAAGCTTTCAATGTCTGCTTTTTACTTGCATTATGATTAAATAACTACTTTAAACTAAATCTCAATGTCTTAGATACAGTGCAGTAATTTTATATCTAAACCTTATATTAATCTGTATTTGCATCTTGTGAGGTATTAAGAAGATATAATTTTATAGCCAACCAAATACTTTTACCCAGATTTCATCTAATAGTACTAGCATAACACAAAATAATAATAGCATATATACCTATGGTACATTAAAGAATTGAAAACATGTTAATATTTACAAATCCATTTCAGAATTAGAGTTGAAGGGGACTTTGTTATAAGGGCTTTGCTGATACAAACACCCCGGCAACATGCCTGATCTATATTAGTACCAGGAATACCTGCCCCAGGCCAGAAAAGCATTCACTACCTTAGGACACTATAGAATGAAAGACTCCTTACAGAGGGCTCAGGACACTCATTTATATTGAATGAAATAACACATATATGCTTCTAGGCATATATATTCTATAAAAATTAATTTCTTACCCTTTTCTGTTGGTTAGATTTACGTTCACATACATACATATGTATCCTTAATTTAAAAAAGATACATATGTATTCTTAATATGCAATAGATAGTGAGAAGGACTTAGCTTGCACTTCATTAAAAAGTTCCTTTTGAAAGCAATAAACTTAGAGAAAATGGTAACGGAACATTTGGGCTAGGAATGATACACTGAAGTTAAGAACACAGGGTTCTGGGAGACACCAGTGTTCCAAGTCCCAAAGGCAGGTTCTGGATGTTATGCCAATTTGCTTAAAAACACACACACATACACACACACAACTGTCAAAGAATAACAAGAACAACAAAGAAAAGCCACAAGGAACTGTGCCTGAATACTTCTCGTAACATAACTGTTTCAGCCCTCTGCATACCACAGCTCAGCAAAATATGACACACAATCCCGTAAGAGCGCCATTACCTAACTTCCCATCATCTTTTTTGCCAAAGGGCAGATAAGGTTACTGCTACCCTGAAATAAACAGAAATACAGACTCAGCTCAGTTCCACAGGAAATCCAAAATGTAATAACTATATTAGCTAATACTTATTTCGCAATTTAGTGCTTTCCCAGATGTGTTTAGAAAAATTTCCATTAAAATTATGAACTAGAAAGAAGTCACGAGGATTCTTCAAATAAAATTCAAAACTAAAATCCAAGTCAGTAGTATCTCCACTTTCCTCCCAAATCAGCTAACATCGGGTGCATTTTACAATTCATGATCAGGTTATTTCAGAAAAAAGTTATTGTTATCCACTAATTAATGGAACCAGGAATGAGTGAAGAGACACACAAAGTGGGATGGAACTAACGTCTATTAAACACTAGATATTTTGCTAGGAGTTTTGCTTGCATTACTCAGTTACCCTGGGGCTATTATAATAACCCTGTTATGCAGAAGGGGAAACTAAAAACCAAGGTACAAACACAAACCTCTGGCTCCAAAGTCCATTTTTCCGTATACCCCACTGTCTCCTAGACTACAGTACTCTCTAACCATGAGTTTATGTTCCTGAAACTCTCATACTAACTCCCCAACCCCACAAAAGGAATATATGTAGACTTTTTTTTTTTAATAGTTCTACCTGCCAGCAGTAATCAAAGCAATACAATGGAACCATAAATGCCAAACGGAGTATTGTGCTCAGAGACAGGGAAGCCCAATTGTTCATTCAGAAAGGCAAGTGAAAGGAGGGCATTTGCTGCTGGAGAGCAAGCATACTGGTCCAGCTCTGTAGGTAATAAATTAGAGGACCTTTGTAAATCTCTTTGCAAGCCTAAGTGCCACAGAACAATGTGGCCAGGACTCAGGAAGGGAGGAAGAGGGAGAACAGACAGAAACGAGAGATGGGGCTGGAGAGAGGCAGGTCAGGGTCAGACCAAGAAAAGCCTTGAGTGTGGGCTCCCAAGTGTTCTTTCAAGAGCGCATTAACCCGCAGGCTGTGCTTCTACAGCGCCTTGGCAATGCCTCTAACAACGTTTTCCCACCGAGAGGAAATGACACACGCTTGTGTTCTGCCCCTTGACAGGTTGAGTTCCAGTAAAGAAAGAATAATTTTTATCACGTCTGGATTCGCACAGCAGGATACATACACGGTTACACATAAGGCTTAGGTCTCTGGCAGCGCAAAGGCTCTAAAGATGGAAGGAAGAGTGCACAGATGTGGGGAGAGAAATCACAGCCGCCCCAAAAGATTCTTCAATCTACGTTTAAGAGTGAGAGTTTGAGGTCCAGAGAAATCAGGGAAAACCTATTATTACCTCCCTATGGAAACGCAAACAGAGCTCCCCTTCTCCGCCTCCCGGGTATTTACGACCTCAGCGGACTGTCCGGCACCGACGCGGGCTGGGATGGGCTGCAGTCAAAGCCCGGCGGCCACAGGACGTTTACAGTCCTGGGAGGGAAAGGGGCGGCGCGAGCCACACCCACTCGCGGCCGAGCGGGTTAAGCGCGGTACCCCGGAGCCGGGCGGCGGGCGGATTTCATCAGACTGCACCAACCCCCGCCGCCGCTAGGGTCCCGGGAACGCACAGCCGCCCAGGGCTGCCCGTTCGGAACCCTTCGCTGC